TAAAGCTGTGTATATACCCTCTTTAAGATTGTCAATGGAATCGGTATATAATTGACATTTTGATTTTGTGTACTTTAAGATTGAGATAATTGACCAATACTTGTATTTTGTATTGTTGAGATATTCTGTTACAATAAACTCGAACATCTTAAAAAGAAAGGAAAAAGAAGTATAAGTTAACCAATATAACTAATAATCGAAGAAACACACAGTCAACGGTATACTGGAAACAGCATGCAGAGATCAGCCTCGAGTACTTTCACTCAAGTACTTCCCTGGAGGCTTGTCCCCAAGCATCTGACGCAGGACATAATGGCCATACGCCAGTAGGTATACACACATCCTGGATACTAGCATGCAGGGATCAGGCCTTAGGTGTGTACTTAAGTACTTCCCTGGAGACTAGCACCAAACATCTAACGCAGGACGTAATGGCCACACGCCAGTAGGGATGCGCGCGACTGATAATATAAAATAAGATTATACTCTTGCCTTGTAAAGATGTTATATTGACGAACTTTTGTGTTAAACGAATTTTTTACGCGTACAGATAAATATCTGATATTCTGTCAGATATTCAGATTTTCATAACATCGCGAAAAACTCAGCGCTTAAATTGTTCCCTGTAATTTTGACCAATCATAATCATTTCAAGATCAGGGTGTAACGTAAAAAATCGAAAAAAAAAGTAAATGGCCATATACAATATCCAGGCTTGGTATATTCTACTAATTTTAAAACCTTTAATAGATCCCGGGTACAGTACATGGCTAAGAGTTTATTCATAAAAAAATCTAAAAATTCGAAAAAAATATCGCCGAGGAAGATAGTACGACTGCAGATTCTATTGAATCTATATTCTATCTCATTTTATTTTTACCTGTTTTATATCAATAAAGCTGGCTCTGGTGGCTGATTTCGCATACATAATCAGTTTACTTTTGCATGTGTATATTGAGTGAATTTATTTATCGTGATGTATATATGATCGCAAATTTTTCTTAGTAAAAGTGATCGGCGTGACAAATTGTCACGCATACATAATTTTTTTATTTGAAATTAAAAGCATTAGCTATCAAGAAAAAATATTTTTTCAAAACGTGTACAGTAAAAATCTTCTCAACCATTTCTAAAATTATATAAATTAATATTAAACATGCAAACTCATAGAGGCGAATCTAAAGACCTATCCGAAGTTGACTCATTAAAACTGGAAAATGTTAGGCTTATGGCTAGAATCGCAGAATTAGAACAAATAGTAAAAGAAAAAAATGCACTTGAGACTGAGCTAAAGCAGATTATAGAAGAAAATGCTGAGAAAGCAAAGTTAAAAGATGCTGAGCTCAATGCAAGAATCATAGAACTTGAATGGTCAGCAAAAGAAAATGAAGAGCGATTTGTAAAATTGGAGCAGAAGCAAAACAATATTGTAGATAAATTAGAAAATGGCGATAATTCATATAAAAATGATGTTAATATACCCGACCTTGTTATAAAATCGTTAGAGGGTGATACCCTTTTTTCGGTATACCGGAAAACGTTTTAAGTTCTGATGTATATCAGGAGTTGAAGATTCAATGCTCCATATTGTTATAGGAGGAATAGCTGCGACTCGGTCGCTCCATAATCCAAAAACTCGCGTAATCTGCGGGTAGTAACCTTACAAAAGAGGTGTGTTAGATTTGGCTGGTGGGTGATTTAAGGCTTCGGTTACTCTGAGTTAGCAACGCTAGGTCACGTGAACAAGGGCTTAACGAACGACAAATTATAACTTTAGGGTTCAAAAGTGTATTTGCGCAATAGTA